AATTTCATGACTCAAAGTTGTCAAATGCCACTTCAACATTCACAAGCATATAATACATAGATGATATACAACATGAGGTAAAAAGCATGGGAGCTTATGGAAAAAGACCATATTATTATTCAATAACAAGACGAACTTGCAATCCTCATGTTTGATTGTACTACTACAAAGGACAAATTATAAGAGCTATAAGACAAACTTCAAGCTACACAACAAAAATAAGAGACCTTTAAGGCTCTAAAAAATATTGCTTAGACTCATATTAAAGAATTGCAAGCCTTTAATATTATGCTACAAGTGGTTCAAGTAACATTTAAATTCACAATTAATGAACTAAGTATGCAGCTCAAAGGTGCAATAAAAAAAATAAAGATTGCAAGTGAAGAAAATTTGTTCACATCAACAAAATAAGGTTAGAATATATCAATCTTAACTCTGATCAATCGAATAGTGACAAAGAATGTTTGGTACCTTGTGCTTTTTCAGTTACTCAAACAACCTTTTATTTTGAGTAATCTTACAAAGGCATGAATTTACCTTCTATATCACCTATACACATGGCCGACTTCAAAGATTAATTGTAGGTCTTAGATATCACATCTAACCATGATTTTGACTTACGTAAAATTTGTGGCTACCAACTAATGTAACTTGCATAGTATAAGCAATAACTTACAATCTTGGCTACTAAATACATGCTTAATGATGAAGATACTTATAGTAGCAACTGAAATCAGGGATGTATTAGAAATATAATGCATAATTTCAAAATATTTTTTCAAGCATCTAGACCTCGAGGAAAGATTTGCCATACATATGATTTTGGTGGATTGCCTATTTTGCAAAAAATCCACATTTAATCTAATTTTTGATATCTATCAACATGTGTTGAAAATCCAACATAAAGACCATTGTATGTATCAAGGATCTTTTGCAACAATATAAAAATTATAAAGTGGATAAGAATAATTTTATATTGATCAACCTTATTCTTACAAATTAAGGCTAAAAATTTCCTAAGGTTGCAAACAGCTTGAGGACAAGATATAAAATACTTCACAAGGTGAAATATTATCTGCCCATGATAACGACACCCACCTACAATAATAATATTTGTTTGTGAAGCTTGTATCTCCCTACAAATGATACTTGCCAAATTACTCCAATGGCATAATGTTAAAAGAGTTGTAAGCTAGGAAATAAGGTATTATTATGATGCTGCCAAAATTAACAAGAATATATTAAGATAGAGAAAAAATTTAGGATCAAGGAAAGCATAATGTGATAGTCAAGGAATAGCATAGTACTTAGAAGATCTTAGGTTGTAGTACTACTAATTAGATAGTATTGGACCAAAGACTATGTAATTCCGAGTGAGTAATAAATTAGGCCTTGCTTCTTTTTTGATCATTGTGTATGCCGAATTTGGTCTTACAAGGTCTTAACTTGTTCTTATTGGTAATTCTAAGAGCCCAAGTAATAATACCATCTTTGAATAATTATATTCTAATAAAATAAATTATAATCTTCTAACTTTTAAAATAGCTTATATAAGCTTCTACACATTTGAGGTTACATAGTTCTATTTATCTTTATCATGATAAAAAAATAATATTAAAGCTTATTTTGTTATATTTTTTAAATAAAAATATTTATAAAAATCTACTTCAGAAGAATGCATTCAATTAATCCAATTATACAAGCTACAAATAAGTTATATCTATTGAATTTAATTAGTAACTTTACATTTGATAATGTCTCTTATGAACTTATATAGGTTTTGAATTATCTTCTTTTTCATTGCTACACAAGTTTCTTTTATATATTATAATAACATTGTTATTCATTTTTTAAAATTTATAACCAACAAAGTCTACTGTACTCCAAGAAATGATTTTTTTAAAAAATTTATATACATACTAAAAAATAATAAAATTTCTTAAATTTTTATTATATATTTTTATTTGAATTTTATTAATTTATTTAATATTATATAATTTATTATTCAATATTATTAAAATTTTATTATTATATAATGTATTTTTCTATATTATTAAAATTTTATTATTATATAAAATATTTACATAAAATGAAATCCTTTAAAGACATATATAATATGAATAACTAAAATAATTTAATCACACATCTTAAAATTAATCATATCTTGTGATTTTAATAAAAATATCTATAAAATTTTATTCTTATTTTCTTAAATAGATTATTTAAATAAATAAACTCTATTATTTAATATAAAAAACAAATTATAAATTCACATTGACAAAAATAACAACAAAAAATATACATAGAAGCAATATGTATGTGGTTTGATTTCTTTGAGGTTACATCAACGGAAGAAATCTCTAGCTCACAGCTTTTTTGATGCCACACGAAGAATACAATATGTTGCGTCTAAGCTCACTCTTGCCTTGCAAAATCTATCCTTTATACTAACTTTTTAACTCCAAGTCTGTCTAAGACTATACCTTATCTGGCCTCCCAAACCAAAAACCCTAACCTTTCTTCTGTATTTTAACATTCCTATTTCCATGTTATAGATGATCCATATTGCAGAGCTTCAATCTGTACCCTGGCAAATGGAGATCTCATCCCCTCAAACCCTCACATGGGGCCAGCTCCAAATCCCAGAGAGACATTATTATTTAACATAATATAAGCCACTATCAAAATATATATATATATATATATATATATACATGTTGATAATTAAATTTATTTGTAATTTAAAAAAATATATATATTATTTATTATTTTATTTATTAAATTAATTTTTAACATTTAATATAAACTATTGTGTGTAATATTCTTTGTTCATTATTTAGCCTTTAAAAAATATTACTTTAAAATATAAAAGTTTATTATTTTATTTTATTTTTATAATTTTTAATTTTAAAAAAATCTCATTTGCCTAATTTTTTTATACTTTGTCTTCTCCATATAATAAGATATTGATCAAATATTTAATTAATGAAGACAAAAAAAACTCAATAACAATAAAGCTTTCATCTTTATCATTTGAATTCATAGCAATACTTGTTAACTTAGAAAAGATATTTTAAAAGTTTTTTATGCAATCTAATATGCTTATATTCTATTTCAAAAGAAAAATATATAAATTTTTCTCAAACCATAGTAAATTTGTCAAGAAGCTTTAATGTTAAATTTTTGTTTCTAACATTATAAAATAAATAAATAATGAGACTAAAACTAATTTAATTTTATATTCTAAAACTAATCTCTTTCTACTCTTTTTTAATCATACCAACAAGGTTTTATTCTAATAATTAGTATAATTTTTTTAATTTAAAAGGATCTTAATCTTTAATTATTCTAAACCATAATTATTCTTCTTGTCAAATTTTATCATCTAAAATTTTGCATTTAATATCTTTGTTGGCATTGCATCACCTCAATTTTTTCTTAATATATATAAATATAAAAGATACAAATTTTAAACGCTCAAAAAAATCAATATAAGATTTTTTTTTTCTTATTCTTTCTTTTTAAGATCTAAATTAAAATATATAAAATTTCACTTATCTCAAGTTAACTACTAAGGTCAGAAAAAAAAATCTTAATGATTATTTGCTATATATTCTAAGAATTCAAATAGAATACATGTGTATAATTTCTTTTTAAGATTTTTCTTTTTTCTTTTATACAATAAAGAAATTTAAACTTTGAAGTAGTTTTTTTAAAAAATTGGTCGAGATAATTTAATTAAATATTTAATAGAAAAAATATATTAAATTAATATAAATAATTATTTCACTTGATTATAAATATACTTATAATTTGAGTTTATAATAGTTTTAATAATATAAAAAAATATAAAAAAAATTAAACTATTAAACTATTAAATTTATTGAATTCTTTATAATTTTGTAGAAAAGAAATGTTGATTTTTGGTTTCGTCACAAATTAATAAATTGTTTAAAGAAATATGAATTAAAATTTACTCTATAATATAAAGTTATCTATATTTTTTAGAAAATCAATGTGTATCGATATATATATATATATATATATATATATATATATATATATATAAGAAATAAAAGACAAGTTTTATATTTTTTTACAAAATGAATAATTAAAAAAACTAACATATTTTTTACAAAAATAATATATATATATTTATATATAAAATTAAGAAAATAAAAATATGTCAGATGAAATAAAATTTGATATTAGTATTTAATATTTTTTACTTTTATTTGAATGATTAATAAAATTAGTTATTTAAACTTCTAAAGACTTATTGTTTGTACAATAGTTACTTAAATATTCACTTTTAGTTTTAGCTCTATGAGACTATATTTCAAAATTTAAAAAAAAAAATCTTTAAGAGTTTTTGGTAAGGTTTTACATAGTCATTATTATTACTATCATTGTGTTACGAGATCAATTATCTTAGAAGTTTACTGACATCAATACATTAAATTAACATAATCTAGTTGTAAGACATTATAGCAGGTTAACTGTACAAAAGTTTAATTTAAAATATCAATTGGCTAATCTTATTTCAACTTGATACTTGATCGAGTCAACAAATGACATGAAAACACATAAAATGGAATACACAAGATTATCAATCTTAAATTTAAACATTGACACAACCAAAATAATCATATTTAACTTGCATTTATATGACAAATTGAATGGAAAAGTGTTTAAAATATATATATGAAATAAAACAACATGGTTATAACACAAAGTGACAAAGCAGGCTTCTAATTGGCCAAACATGAGAATCAGGGAACATGGGAGCATGGATGAACAAGGGAATGTATTAGAGATTGCCATGTATATATAAAACGGCACAGGTTCCACTAGTAATATATGTAATACGAGAAAGTTCACACGTTTTAACGATGTCTCCACATTCCAGAGTCCAGGGGAGATCAGGACCCGAAATGAGATCCCAGGACGTGAAAAACGACACCTCAATCAGAACAACACAGACTTGACCTTATCCGTCTCCTGCTGCAGCGACGACGCGCCCTCCTCTACCTCTGCCCTCCGCTTCTTCCTCTTCGCAGCGCGGCCCTCATCGCCAACCCACAATATTCCCGACACCATCACTGAAGGAGAGTGACTGAGTGAGTGACTGAGCGTGGCCTCCCGGCGTTCGCATTAACAATTCGGTGCATTCTTCAGTGTTGTTGTTGTTACGGTTATGGCGCCAACAGCTGCCGCCACAGCCATGGCAGCGCAGTTTGCCTCCATGGCGGTGTCATCACCCTCCATCTCCGCTGCCAAGCTTTCCTCCTCCTTCACTGCCAACAATGCCTCGCTTCTGTCGCTGCGGAAGCGTGTCTCCGTCGCCCCCGTGCGACCCCGCAGCGTGGACGTGCAGGCCAAGGGTGGGTTCATCCCCGCTGAACACCGTTGGATGTACGAGGGCATTGAGAAGATGGGTCCGGTAAGTGACATGCGTCTCCTCTCATCCGGGTTTCGCATTTGTTCTTGGATTGCTCATGGTCTTGTCTTAACGAGAAGTCGCGGAAGTTTGCTCTCCTTGGTGTTTAATTCGGAAGAATTCAAAAGTCGGGTGATTAAGCTACCTGCAGGAATGCATTCAGTGCCTTTTTTTTTTTTTTTTTGAGAGTTCGTATGCACTGTTTTGAGCCACGCCCAATCACTTGAAAGCCAAATTGCTCACGGTTCACGACCTAGAATTTGTAGGGTAATGCTGTTGTAGCTTTTTTCATTTTTCATTTTTTTTTTTTTTTTTTTTTTTTTTTTTCCCTTCTCTTGCTCGTCATCTTCTAGATATGTGCTGCACATTTGTTTGTTTTTTATTTTTTTCAATTTGGGAGTTCTTCGCACTCCTTGAATGCTTGGTTGAGCTTTCTTGGAGCTCTGCATTTCCTGTACTTCGCATGGGAGTCCAAACATGTTATGAGTGGATGATAATGCTTACCTGGTTCTGGTAGCAATCATCTCGATAAGAAGGAGGATGTCTAGTGGGAGGAGAGGAAGAAGAATATCCTCGGGACCAAATTCTTTGTCCACATTATGCAGTTTAGAAGCAATTTCATTACGTTATCTTGTGTTCTCATGCTTGTCATCAGTGTGGTGAATTCTATATGTGCCTTACCGTAAAGACTACCGCGTGAGAACGTATAAATCACCTCCCGATTCAATTGTCTTGGAACTAAACCCTGAAAATGGATTTCCGGTCGTGATGTTTTTGTTCATTCCCTAATATCGTTAGTCTCAAACAAATATGATTGGTAATTTCTAAAACTGTATTTGTTTATGCAGTGTAAGATGTGTTTGCTTTAATCGCAGGATGTGTGGAACACGACATACTACCCTAAGGCAGACGACCACAAGAACGTGGAAAAGAAGTGGTACATAGTCGATGCAACTGATAAGCGCCTCGGGCGCTTGGCATCCACAATTGCTATCCACATTCGAGGGAAGAATGTTCCCGCGTATACTCCCTCCACCGACATGGGCGCTTACGTTGTGGTGGTTCGTCACTTTCCTTCTTTTTACCGAGATCGTGACTGTGAAATGCCTAGGGTTTAGGGTTTTCACGATGGAGGTTTCCGAGTTTTTTGCGTGTTTCGTGCTCGTCGTTCTTAAAGCATAATGGAATGTTTCGAATCAGATCAATGCCGAGAAGGTTGCAGTGACGGGAAAGAAGAGGGAGCAGAAGCTTTACAGGAGGCATTCTGGCCGGCCTGGAGGCATGACGGAGGAGACCTTTGACAATTTGCAGAGGAGAATCCCACAGCGCATTGTGGAAGCTGCAGTACGCGGCATGCTACCCAAGGGCCGAGTAAGTGCTCGTCTCTGTCTGAAATGAGTTCTGTTTCCAGAGATGTAATTTTGGTTTGCATGAGTTTAAATTCATCACAGGCTGTCAGTTTCTCAAGTTGCTTACTTTGAATGAGGCATTGCCTGCACAATTTGAATCACTAATGTGTGTTGGTTGGAACAGTTGGGAAGACGGCTGTTTACTCATCTGAAGGTGTATGAGGGATCGGACCATCCTCACATTGCCCAGCAGCCAGCGCCTTTGCCTATCGCAGACAAGAGGATCAACATTGTTCAATAAAGTTTGTATGTATGTATTTTCCAGGCTTACTATTGATTCTATTCCAATTTTTGCTGCAAAGACGTTTAGTTATATGGATTATTGGATGCAGTTGTGAACAGCACTTCAGATACTTCACAATTTCCCAATGTGCAGGGGTATTCTCCGTTCAATTTAACCTAGCATCTTGCATTTTTTTAAGCGAGGGAATTCATCGTTCACAAAACATCAACTAGTGCAATTCCTTTAAAACAATGATGCTCCGTTTCCTGCGTTAGTTGAACAGCATCACGACGAATGACGCATGGCACCAGAGAAAGAGCAGAGATGAAGGAGAAGATACATAAGAAGTAGCCAGTGTCTACTGACATCATGATGAAAAGGGAGGAGTCCTTGACGATCTACTAATCAGAAAGCGAGAGCGCTCATAGTAGAAGAACATAACATTAGCAAATGCGAACATTTCTGATTAGTGTAAGACTGTACTATGCGTCTGTTCCACACTCCACTTCAGAATCAGACGTAAGGTGAAGAAGAAAGTATAAATTCGTTCATTGTGCTACTCCAAACAAACTTAATAAATGATTAACACATGCTACACTCCTCATCCATGATTATCTTCTTTCATAGAGGCCTTCTTGCTCCCATACATCCACAAGAAAGTCCACCATTTCCTGCAAGACGAAGTGGTTTCAGTAACAGCCAGTTGACTCTCACAGGAAGCGGACTAAAAACCTAATGCAATGAAACGGAAACTCGTATGTGCAAAGATGAATCCATACTAGTAAAGGGATGGGCTGCGCAAACGGTCTACTTGTCGAAAGAAGTTCCTCATAAGTAGTATTCCAGCTGCACAGCAAATGGCTACATCTAAGTCAAGATTTAATCGTTCGGGCTCTTGCATTGGTCATGGCATCAGACCGCAAGGTTGCATTGTTCGTGCTTGCCGCACTGATCTGACAATTAAGAACCGTTGCTTTCAAAATAGATGGAGAAGAAACACTAATAGAATTCAGTTTTTCGCAATTGATCCCATGTAACAGAAGACATATAACTGCTTAAGAATAGAAGCATTGCACAGCGAAGAAGATTGACCTGATAGCAGGCTCTCTCGGCTCACGTCGCGCCGGTGGTCGGGGTTGAGTCCCCACCCAAGCAGACCGTTGCTGGTTCCACAATGCTAAAGCTGCCGCACAAGCAACAGGTACTGAGATCAACCTCAACTTCCTCCTCCTCAAGCATGAAGTACTACAGCGCTTGAAGTAAATGTGCCGCTCCTCAAGCATAAAAGAGCTAGATACTTCAAACCCAATGCTTCCCCCATCAATGCAACAAGAGTTAATGAGAAAATCTGTTCAAGCATAAAGCTCTAAGCAATGCAGCAAGTGGCATTACCATGATTAGAATATGCGGTATTCGAAGCAGTGCCTGCCCCATGATCAGAAGGAACGTTTTGGGGGGGTCCAGCGTCTAGCGTGTTGTGATTCTCCATCTCATTCGAGCTGGTGGTCCACCAATCACGAGGTTGCTTTACGATGTGCCCACGCACTCGAGCTCGACACTTGGACGACCGCGGTCGTCGCGAGACAAGTTTGTCGGAAGGCGTTGGAGGCGGAGGCTTGGCACAAGCCCCTAAGCAACCACTGCTCTGTTGCAAAACGCAATCAACCCCAACCACAGCCAATTCCACACCCCAGCTCTTTCATAAGAGAACGCTCACCATATCCTCGTCCTAACAAACATCATTTGGGATCTAAACTAGGTCAATTGCACAGAAGGGAAATACGATGCTTCAATGGTTTTATGTTTCCAAAGTCACCCCACATTCAGGAGCGTTGAGTACCAGTCTGTTTAAACATGCAGAATCATTAACTGGAATTGGAGGTTGAATGCGACGAAATACGCACCCCATACTTGCAGTCCTATGGCTCCGTTTCTGAGGTGGTTAAGACGGTGATCAGCATTTGGTCAACAAATCATTGAGTTTCATAGTAAATGGTCCAAAGAGCCCTGCAACACAGCGCACTCAAAAGCTTGCATCGCTAACACCTGCACACAAGAACTGATTGTGAGGATCCTGGTCAACCCATGAGAGCAGAGTGTTGGAACGTATTGGCCATCGGAGGATTCTTGTCCGAGATGCTACGATCAGGAAATGTAAGAGATGGGAAATGCTCTTGTCTCCAACCAAATTGTGCAGGACTCTGCTCTAATCGCAAACTTGTAAACCACCCCATTCTAGGTTTCAGAAGCCCTCCGTGAGTTAGTGGTAGCGTCTTCACAATAGTTGCTATTTAGATTATTCAGAAATACATGCTAAAGCAACAACGAGCCCCAGACCTTAACGACTTCGACATTCACGAGCTCTATGCTCTCACAGATACGACGAATGCAAACTGGCAGCCCCAGGATCAAGCTTCTAAGACACCAAACCCAAACTCTCGTCCAACGATCGCAGCACGTCAAAACCAAGAAGACCGTCTTGGAAGCGCCAGGACAGTGTAACACAACAGAGAAACTTACAAGTATCCTGGGCTGCGGGGTTCACAATCCCTGCTCGTGACTCCAAATCTCCCGCTAAGTAGACCCTACAACTCATGACAGTATGTTTAGTACATTAACAAGCAGCTTTTGACTCAGGGAGGAGTGCGCTAGAAGAAGCGCAATCGGCGGCCGACCCAACCCAACCACCTCGAAAAAGCGCGAATTGAAGCAAAAGTCTGCCACCAACCAAACCCCACCACTGAGTCCCAGTACCTAAAGCTGCCGACAGCAACAAACCCCCCACAAAACCATAACAGAACTCCCAAACTCCCATCCTGGGACAAAACACCTCCACCTGGGGAATTGATGGAGCCAACCTGTGCACCAGAGGAAATGGCAGGGAAGTGCAGCTTGGGGCTGTGGAGGACAAAGAGCAGTGTTTGTACGCTCAGCAAAAGCTGAAAGAGGGCACAGCGAAAGAGGATAGTCAGAGGCTGAGCAGCAGCAGGCTCAGAAGAACAAGGGGCAGAGTAGAGCCCGCGAGAGAAAGACAGGAAGAACAGAGAGCCCTGAAGCACATCGCGTTCCGATTGCAGAGCCTGAATTGACGGGGCATCTGCTTCTGCCGGCATGAAAGCTCGCATCGCTGCAAATCCACGGAAAAAAGTTTCCGTTGTGAGGTGTCACTCCCGCAGTCGTGCACCTTGATTTAGCGTCACCTTGACCGGTGGTCGCTGGCAAGTTCCTCACAACCGAATTTATTGGTCGTAAATAATCTAGTGGAATAATAAAAATTGGCCGTCTGAAGCGGAGAACATCAGAGCTGGTGCAATTGTGGATTTCAGGAAATGAAGAATTGGTGTGTCATGTAAAGAACTTTTTAGATGTTAGGCTGTAAGATTGATGAAATGTTGGTTGGTTGTTATAAAAAAAATGCTTTTGTCTTGTGAGACGCCTTGAACTGTAGATGAAGTGGATAAATATTGGGTTGAGTTTAGGGTTGCAATTACAAGTTTCTTATAAATCAGTTTTGAAACTAACAACTTTACTTAGTCTTCAATTCATGCTTCAACTCTTTCTTTCGTCATAAAACTTAGATTTGATTGAGAATAGCAGTGTGATTTCTCAATGAAAGAGAAATTTATCATATTCTACTGATAGGATTAGAATATAGTAAATTATGCCATCAACTTTTAGATGAGATTGCAAATTTTCTTTTGTGTCTAATTTGAAGAGAATCATTTATATATAGTTTTAGTTTTTTACATATTTGGTTCATTCTTTCGTTCTTGTTGCAGATATGTTTGTAAATACTATAATTAATATTTAAACATATTATTATATATTATAAATATGATGACATATGATTTGACTTAAAATTTTTATCTATATATATATATATATATATATATAATTTTAATTTAATCTATATTGCATAAATAAACGTAAAACACAATTGATTACAAACACATTTCTTGCCTTATACCACATGCATGTTGTTTGAGAAGAATTGTGATGCCAAATTATTTAGATAGAAATTAAGATAATTTAAAAACACATAAATTAAAAAAAAAATTGAGTTTTTTTAAAAATACAAATAAATTTATATATATATATATATTCTATTTTTTTTTCAAAAACTACCTCTTGTTGTAGTAGAATATGTAGGATTATGAGATTTTTGTATAGGATTTGTTTGTAGCTTTTTAGAGAGTCTTGGTAGTAGGGACCTTGTTCTATGCTTTCAAAAGTAATGTTATGCTTAAAAACAATTTTTTAAAAATATAAAATAAAAAATTATTGAGATGCTTTGAAATTGATTTAAAAACAATTTGGACTTTAAAACAAATGATTTGTAACAATTTTATAAATAACTTAAATGATAGAAAAACAAATAAAAAGAAAGGAAGTAAATATATTACGAAGATGTAAAATAATAATCTATGCATACAGAATATAATAATCATATCAAGTAGAGATGTTATATAGATGTTTAAGCTTAAATACTGTAGCATATTTGTAAGGCTTAGAATATAAATAGTTTCTTTAAAAAAATATATTTTAATATTTATAAAAACTTTAGAACTAAAAAATGTCAGTAAAATATACTTTTAATTATTTTTCAGTATATCAAATTAATAAGCTTAAAATAAAAGTCATGATATACAGAAGAAAGAAAGAAATAAATAAAGAAAGAAATAAATTGTTTTCAAGTTTTAAAAAATATATATGTATATATATATGTATATATATATATATATATATAGAGAGAGAGAAACTAATGTTAGTGTCAATTAATATTATTAGATTTTACTGTGAACTTTCAATCTCTTAAAGAATTCAGTATGTGAAATCTCTTTTGCTGTAAGGTTTCTGATTTACAAAAACCAGTGCTATAATTAACAACACACAATTAAAAATAAAATAAAAATATTTTTTACATTGATTAAATTTTAGATGTTAAAGTATGTATCTATATCTATCTATATATATATATATATATATATACATACACACATATATATATATATATATATATATATAAATACTTATAAAAGATATTGCTTCTACAAATTTTTAGGAGCAAAATTTTAATTATATCATATTGCATAAATATTTAAAATTTTATATTTGAACATTATTTTTGAAATTAAATTTTGATGATATTTAAATCCATTATATTTATAATATTTCTTAATGATTTTAAGACATAGATTTAAAATTACATCTATATGGTATTCTTTTTTTAGATAATATTTTTGTTTTTAGTTTTAAATTCATATGATATAAGTATCTGAGAAACTAAGTTTATAATTATATATATATATATATATATATATATATATATATATTAGATGAAAATAATATTAATTAAAATTATTATAATTTTATAATATATCTTTAAAATTATTGCACACTTAATTGACTTAATGTTTATTAGTTTATTTTTATATGTGTGCAAAAACATTTTAAGCTTGTGTCACATGATATGGCATTGGGTGCCAAATCCTATCAAATGTATGTAGTTTAGTTTGGTTAGTGGTTTTTCATCTATAGAGATTTTTTCGTTAGTTGAATATGTTAATGTGAACTAGGGTTTGGATACTTAGGTTGAAAAAAACTCTTAACTTGGCATTCTTGAATTTGATTTATTTATTTGAAACTCAAAATTTTCCAAAATAAATATTTATTTAAGATAATATTTTTAATTCATTTTGGAAAATTAAAGAAATATATAACAATTTTTTTTATAACTAAACTTTCATATCTTTTGTTTATATATATATATATATATATATAGATATAGATATATAATTTTTTTAGTGTATTTGAACTTATGTAAATTTAAAATTATATTGATTTTTTTTATGTTTTTATTAAATGAATTATTGGAGAAAATAAAATTAATTCACACACTAAAATTAAAATTATCTTATTAACTAAACTATTCAAAATTTAATTTAACATTCATTAATTCTATGTTATGTAAGTAAAGTATGAGATTTTAAATTTTAAATTTATAATCTTTATATAAATATAAATATATATTATCTTTTTTAGATATGAATATATATATATATATATATATAGAGAGAGAGAGAGAGAGAGAGGGAAAAATGTTATGTAGATCCAAGTTTTTATTAAATCAACCCACTTGTCTTAACCATCATGAAAAAAAAATATAATGATGTTTAGATTCATTTCTCCACTATTAGATCTACAACCAATATAAACCAACCACATTCATCATGACTACCATATTCTTCATCAAGAGTGGATCTATTTAGTTAAAGCATGGATCTATTTAACATTCATCTATATATATATATATATATATATATATGTTTATCAAATCTCAATTCATGTCAATAAAGAATCTGAGATAAATTCTAATAAATTTCTAACTTAATATTTTTTCTATTATAAATACTTGATTAGACTATTCTTCTAAATTTTAAATCAATAAAATAATGTGGTGTAATTATACATTATCTTTAAAACTTGCATATAGTTACTTGTATCCAGATGTATCAAGAGCGATAGAATAAAAATTTAAAAACACTTTTTTACTTTTAGTATCACATTATAATTCCAAAAGGAATAATTTGTGTATATTATAAAAAAGGAATTTTATTTTTTTTATTTTAATATAAAAATTAAATTAAAATAAAATAAAAAGATGATATGTTTTTAAACTACAATGTTTAGGAATAAATTATAAGAAATTATAAATTAAGAGACAATTATTTCAAAAAAATTATAATTTTTTACATTTATTCTTCTAAAACCAAATTTTATTTTATTTTTGAAACAAATGTAGCAATCATAAACACCACTACAATATGATGATTATACCTAATGTTCTAACTATTAACTTAAAATAAAATAATTAAAAATACACAATTCAAACATTAGCATTTGATATGTCTGTACACGTCAAACTGTTTCAAAATAAAAATGAAATAAAATATTCCAACTAAACTTGCTTTCCACACAAGAATCTCAAAGAAATATAAGCACATTATATACACCCAAATTACAAACAATAATGGTAGATTCCACCCATAAAGAGGAGCCCCATCTTTGAAAGAGAAGGCCACGATGTAAAATCTACAAGAGGGGCTCACGTGCTGCAAAATCTACAAGAGGGAGAAAGGGGGGGGTGCGGGTGCTTCTCCATCGTCTATCGCTAGAGTTGGCTCCTCTTCATTGCTTGCTTCGTCGCAGGCAGAATCTCCTTGAATCTGTATCTGGATCCGAATCCCGGGTGATCGTCGTCGTCGTTGTCTTCGACTTCGTACCCAACTGCATTTTGCATCATCCGCAGTTGGGTCCCCCATTCTTTCGACGCGTAGTGGTGGCTCTTGGGTTCTTTGATTGCGTGGAGTTGAGAGCAGCGCTTGATTATCAGTTTTTTTTTTTTTTTTTTTTTTTTTTTTGTTTGTTTGTTTCCAGAAGGATCGGCTGTTGGGAGGGAGTTCCGCGGGGTTTTGGTGCTCTGGAGGTTTTATCGATTTGCAGAATCGCTGCTTTGAGTTGTCAACTTGTCGCAGTTGCAGGTTTTGTGAGTCTTTGTAAAGTTTTCGAGTAGTTTATTTATTTTATTTTATTTTATTTTATTTTTGCATCTATGGTTTTGTTGGAGGTTGAGTTTTCCCTCCAACGTGCGTTTCAAAGCCTCGCCTCTGAACTGCTTTATGTACGACGTGAGATTGTCGGTCTTATTGTGCATTCAGAGGTTTATTCGAACCAGCCTCCGACTCCATCATCTTCCCTTCGAAGGCGCTTGTTATTTTCCTGGTTTTGGTAAACAGGCTCATGGTTCTCTAATTTCAAAGTTTTTTCACATTGCGCAATAAGTCATCACGCGAAATTACTTAGCTATAAAATCTGCTTGTTGTACTGTTTAGTTAGCAATCTGTAGGGTTACCTTTAACGCTAAGTGCAGTTCTTTCTACGCTGAACCGAATTTTTTTTTGCAACTTATGATTCTCAAATTTATCTTCTTCTTTGCAATATCATGTATCCTCAAATCTTAGAACTATGCTGTCTTCTTCTAGAAATTGAACCACCCTGCTTGCATGGGCAGGCTTTTCCAGCCATAGTCAGTGTTAACACTTCTCACAGAATGTGGTCATCCTTTTCTATCTTGTTGTTTGAAACTGTGCTAGGCTGTTCACTTCCTCAGTGAACAAACAGTCTTTTGGACGTTATAAATGGTATCAAGCAATAAAGCGACTACAGCGCATCATGGGCACAGTGCTTCAACAAATGAATTTTAACAAATCAACTGCAGTTGGTCTGTCTGCGTTACCTTATCAAAGTCGCCGATTGTTCCCCTTTGACTCTTTCGCAATGATGTAATCGTGCAGGTGTTCACGAAGAATATGTCGTACTTTGTGCCCCCGTGCAATTATGGAATGGTGGAATATGACCTGAGCCGGTCTGGCCAGTGCCACCAGCTCAACTTCCCCTTCCTTGAGCGCCATAACCTCAAGACTGTGATTTACCTATCCTTCGATGAGCCATCCCAGCCATTGTAAGTGGATACTTAATCCCTGTAACTGTACACCACATATTAATTTTCTGTTTACTTGGAAATCTTTATTCATACCCAAGCTTTACTTACATCTGGATGTGGCCACAGCCTAAGTTTTTCGGAGGATCAAGGTATTGACTTGATTCGACCCTCGCTGGAGCTTAACGAGCTCCACTGCCAAGCAAGCTCGATGTTTGAGGCGGAGCTTCTCTCTGCCTTGCAGGTTTGCATCAACGCAGTATTCAACACTTCTATGTAGACGGTATCGTTGGTTACAGACCTCTATTTTTTTGGTTCCATAACGTGTTGTCCGGATAGTATTATGGACCCCCCAAGCCTTGTAGAAATGCCGAATAATTGACTCTGAAAGGCAGAAATCCTTTTTGTAAATCTCGTGTGCTCAGGTAATTTTGTCAACCCAGTACTATCCTCTGCATGTAATGTGCAAATTTGGACACCACCGCACAGATGGGCATTAAATTACTTGCAGAAGAAAAGTTACTCTCTAGAGTTTCTAAGGTTGAGCTCAAATTCTTGGGTGAACTGTGCAGAGGAAGTAGTAGCAAGAATGTTTAATGTTCAAGAGTTCCTGTGGGCACAATCAAGGGTGCTCGGTTTAGGGCTGACAGAAAGAGTTAGCTTTCTGGTGACAAGTCAGATGCCCAACTTTAAATATTTTCAGGTTTTTGCATCAAACTTTTAGGCACTACAAGAAAGTCTTCGTTTGTCAATCTTCTTGCAGGCACAGTGATAGGTTGCTTGAGAAAGTTGCAAGGGTGGAATTTGACGGCCATTTTCGAGGAGTACAGGCGGTATGCTGGCAGCCGGTCCGGTTCCTCAATGAACAGGTGCACCAAGTTTATTCACTCTTCTTATTTTCAATTTGAGCTCTTCCTTTTTCTTTCTTTTTTGTTGATCTGTTTCGAAACCATATGCACTATCGAGATGTCTTGATTTATCCAATTTCAGCCTGAGAGAGTTGCGAGCAGAGAATCTTAGTGAGCTTGAATTGTTCATTCCGGGCGTTTTTTTTCTGTGATTATTTTTGAGATGCTGAGCTGTATTCAATGGTTTAAATCATTCTTATGAAATGACTGCAGTTCATTGAGCTCTTCGACACAGATCATGTTCGCATCCCTGTGGATCACCCTAATTGGTTGTGATGTGGCACTGCATCTGTTTGATGGAGAGACCAGGGAGACACTTCCAGTTGAATTCACATCTCGTGTTCAGAGCTGGTAATACATTTGGAACCTATGCAGCGCCGCCGATTGACTGTTTTCCAATCCATCAACCTTCCTCAATCCACAATTTACATGTTCAACGCTCAAAGGACTTCGGGATCATATATTGAGTATCCGAGTTTTCTGAAGTTAAAACATCAGATACTGACGTCCTGCGTCACTGTGTGCAGACTATTTTTGAAAAGCAGCATGCCCTGACAGGTATTGCCTTCCAAGCCAGCGGATAGTCAAATACAAACTAATATCCTTCACATGAAATCACCATACACAATATTAAATGAGCTTTCATATCACATTTTACTAACCATCAGATGGTTCAGTCATCTTAACAAGTTAGATGATAGTGCTTTCATGTTCTCTCTCTCGGTTTTACTTCTTGAGAGCTTCTCCACTATATCATTTGCCCAGAATACCACCAGCTTGAAGTGGAAACGACTATCTATAGGCAAAGTGCACCAGAGTTTTCACATTTTGGAATTGCATCCATTGTTCATCAAAACCACTTGGTTTATTCTCATTGAAGTGCATGGCAAAGAATAGCTAAGACGGAATGATAGGAATCTAATCGCTTCAGCAATTTTTTGATGTCAGAACTAGACTGAGGAGCACAGAAGTCTAGATACTCCGAGTACACAGGACACCCAGAGCAATCGTAACATTTTTGTTAAAATAACGAAATGTTTTTGTCACACAGTTTTGGCTTGTTTCTCTTGTGAGCCGGAGTCGTTATTTTTGCTGATTATGGTAAATATGGGCGTAGTTTTTGTTGTGTGTATATGGTGCTCGAAGTCTTGCCCTATGTATTGAGTCTGTTAGATTTGAAAGGAGGAAGGGAACATTTCATACCAACAAGAATTAAAGCATTATTGTGTCATTATTTTGATCTCAGGTGTGCTGATTTACACTATGCATTTATTCACTCCTGTTTTGAAGTTGTTATGGAAAATAAAAATCAAAACAAAGTAGTGACATGTTTTAGTAAGATGGATGATAAATTGGAAGAAGAGTTTCCTAATGTTTTTAAGATTTTTGTATAGTGTGTTTTTGGTCATAAGATGTGCCTTCAAGAAATAACGTCATTCTCAAAATATATATTTTATTTTTTTTATTAGATAAAAACTTAGTGAACAGACTGTGACTAGTTTCGTAGTGTATAATTGCTTAAGTGCACTTGTTCACTTGTTTTTTGTGTTTTATTTCTTTTGTTTTTGTTCTTCTTATTTTCACTTCTTACCACCAATTACAAGCAACTCTTAATTTAGGCCATCTTATAATTGAATTGAAGAATGAGTTTTACACTCACATCAATCCAACCAAAAGTTGAAACAAGGAATTGGAGCTTTACCAAATATAGAGTGTTTTCTTTTGTAACTCTATATGGTTTAGAGTCATGCCTTCAAGATAAACATAAATTAAATCCACCAAGTACATTATTAACTTTGAAAATCTCTCAAATTATCAATATTAGTCCAAACGACATAAAATCATAATTCAAAAAATCTTTCTTTAAGTCTGCTCTTAAATTCCATTCTTTGATTTGTGAAAAAAATCCTAGAGTCACCATAGATGCTTAGTTTTAATCTTTAATGTTTGATTTTGTTTCTAGTTGGCAATTAGTCCTCTCTAGGCATTAATTCTTGTCTTTTTGAAGTAATTTTTGCTAAAAAAAAATATTAATTTCTTTCTACATATATATGTATCTATTATTTTTTTTAATCTATCTTGTTTTTCTTTATTTATGGTTTTACAAAGTAAATTGAATCCATTTTTATAAAATTCAGTTCTAACACTAATAGATTTTACTACCTGATTATATTTTTTTATTATATATTTTTAATTAGGCTCTTCTATAATAAAATACTTTCTTTTTTCTTTTACCTAATGGCTATATTATTCTACAAAAATACCATTCAAAATCTCTAATATGAGTTCCTATCTTATTTGTGAAGAAAAAAGATGGATCTCTACAAATGTATACAGACTATCAATGACTTAATAAGATCACCATCAATAATTAGTATCCTTTATCTTTAGTTTTAAGACTTCTAAACTAATTCAATTAAATAAAAATCTACATAAAAGTAGATCTACAAAAACCATACAACTTGGTCTACATCAAAAAAAGAGATAAATAAAAGACTACTTTTTGAACTAGATATGGATATTTCAAATATAATGTTATGCCTTTTGAATTCATGAATACATTAGTTGCTTTTAAACATCAGCTGCTTTTATATGATGATGTTTTAATCTATACTAAAAATATAAAAAATATAAATTTTATGTTTGTTATGTGTTACAAAAACTAAGAGATGCAAGATTATACATCAAGATAAACAAAAAAATATATATTTCATACTATTTAAGTTTACTTCTTAGGATATATCATTTCAAATGATGATCTTATGATGGTTCTTCAAAAGGTCAAGACTATCATAGATTAGAAGATCTCAAAAACACTTAGAGATGTATGTTGCTTTTTGAGATTTGCCTATTATTACCAGATTTTTATTAAGAATTTTTCTTGAGTTGGAGCTTCTTTCATTCATCTAACTTATAAAAACAAACTTGAGTGGAATATAGAAGTTGAAGCATCTTTTAAAGCCTTAAAGACAACATTAATTTTTTTTTCTATTGTATTTTTTTTTATTATAAATATTTAATAAAGATTTTTTTTTGATATGAAGGATAAGTGAAATTACAAAAGATTCTTATTTTTGGAGTGTTGTATATATTTCAAAGATACAAGATAGTAGAGCAATTAGTAGCAGTTAAAAATCAAATATTTTTTTATGGTAAATTCTCTCTCCACGACATATTGATGCTTCTACTAAGAGATTCTTGAAGCTTTTATTGTTGTACTAGGAACAATGGAAGAAGTTGATTTAGGTTTTAGAATGCTAAGAGGAGTTGCTTCAAATAGCTTTGTTTTAAGTATTTGTGTAATTTATAGAATAATGACAACAAGTTCAAGAATGTAATAAGGATACCACAAAAGCCTTGCAAGCTGTTGTTAACAAGATTGGGAGATTTGAAGGGAGAAACATCACCAAATTTCTTAGGATCAACATATAAGAGATAGAAGTACATCAAATTTCAAAAGTAAAGATGAACTTTGCTTTTGATCTTTTTGTTCTTTTTAAAATTAAAAAAAAATAAAAAAATTACATGAAGATTCTATGAGCATGAGCAAATTTGTAGAATGTCTCTAAAATAAATTTTTTAAAGAAGATTTAGAAAAATAATCAAAAAGTTATTTTTAAAATAAATTGAATAAAGGCTTAGATTTCAAATAGATCCAAGCAAGTTAATAAAGGATTTCAAGAAGAAGTTTGGCTAATTATTAAGATATAAAAGATAATCTCTTAAAAGAAGAAAAATTGAGTTATTTTTACAAGCAATAAATGAAAATTTAGAGAAAAAATTATTCTTTCAATTAAGAAATAAAGCATCTCAAAATATCTTTATTAATGATTGAAAAAATATAAGAGAAATAATTGGATTTTTAGCTAAACAACAAACATTTAAAACTTAGAGTTATTTAGCACAATTAAATCTTATGCACGATATCCAAACTTCTTTATCAATTTAAAAGATGAGTAAGATTACTCTTCATGAAGCATTAAAAGAATTAATCAAAAAAATGATAGATTTGAAGGTAAAATTGATAAAATTAGAAAAATCTCAAAAATCTAGTATATCAAATATTTTGGAAGAATCTAAGAGATATTGAAAGATATATATGGTGTGATAGCCCAAGCCATAAGTTTGGTGAATATGATAATTATAAAGCAGCAATTAGAGAAATTATTATTTATTTTAAGGAAAGAATAATAAGACTTTCAAGTATTGATGAACCTCTTAGGACCAACTTTAAGAAAGGAAGTATGAAAAAATTAGTGGAAGAAGAAACTAATAGGAGTACTACCATATCTGAAAAAGAAGCAAAATCTTATATCATTTAAGTAGGACAAAGAGAAGTGAAGGTTGTAGAATTACCAACAATTGATGTCATGAAGAGAAAAATTGAGGTTATTAGAAGAATGGCTAAGTAGGAAGATTTGATTGATGCTATGAACATTAGAGCTTTTTTAGGTACAAATCAATAAGTTGCTGATTTATATGGTATTACAATTAAAAAAAATAGAAGTAGAGCTATTCAACAAAAAAACTCTATTGAACTTTCCAATAAGAAGAAAGAATCAAAGGAGAAGAAAGAGAATAAAAAAGATATATCAAAGAAGGCCAAAGGTAAAAATCCCACTTATAAATTTTAATTTGATATTGAAACATCTATTGATATGAAGAATATTTTAGAAGAAAAAAATCTTAAATGCTAGAATTGAATTTATCTTGAAAGAAGCTATTGATATAAAAAAAGGGATTTCCATGATTATTGATGTAATAAAAAAAAAGATAAATGACAGCCAAGGCTATTATGATTAAGACATTAGATATTTAGATGATTCAAGATGAAGAAGAAAAGATAGGATATGTATTTGCCTAATTTGCAATGTTAAAAGTGAGAAAAGAAGCAAACTTAGAAGATAAGACTTTGATCAATAATAATATGCTTATGGGAGTACATCAAACATAAGAAGCTTTAGTTACAAATTGTATCAAGTATAATGATCATGGAGAAGATGGAGTGAGCTATTTAATTTTTTATTTTATTAGAGCAACTATGGAGATACAAGTGAAGCTTGATCATTTAAATGATCTAATATTGGCATTGGTTGATTACAGGTTGGAAATTAATATCATATCAAGGAAGGTGTATAAAAAAAATGAGAAGATAATTGATATGAATCATAGATAGATAGTTAGAATAGCAAATAACCAACAAGGAGATCTTTATAGAGCTTGCCCAGCAATAAAGACAAGGATTGAAAATAAAGAAGTAGAGCAAAAACTTTTTTTACAAAATTCAACTATATATCTAGTAATTCTTGATCAACCTTAAATTATTACTATAAGAATGGAAATTAAAGTTTTATATGATGATTCCTATTATACTAGAATTTAAAGTTGTGATAGAAAAAAAATAGTACAATTTCTTATGGTTAAGCCTATTCATAAGAGGCATCAATATCAATTAAAAAAGTATCTTTGGAATCCAAAGATAGATTTATGAATTTCTAGAGAGCATCTTTATAAAAGGCAACAAAAGGATACAAATAAAAATTATGCTAATTCTAATATAAATATTTTAAATAATAGATTTTTATATTTGAATGATAGTAGATTTATGAATTATAAAAAAATTAAAGATTTGAATTCAATAGATAGAAGAAAGATGAATAAACAAAAAAAAAATCTTTAAAAATATGGATTTGATTTCAAGAAAAGATACTATAGATGGAATAATAGAAGAAGTAGGTTTAGAAGATGATTTGATGCTATTTTTGGAAAGCATAGCAAAGAGTAAAGAAGAAGAAGTTTGGTTAAATTTGTATTTAAGAAAAGTTTATAAAGAATTGAAAGAAGTAATAGGAAATATGAAAGTATGAGGCTAAAATATAAGGCTATGGTTCAAAAAAAATATAAGATAGTGGCTAAGAAGGTTAGGCAAGTAGCTACTTAATTATCATCTAATATCATGGAATATATCAAGTAAGCACATATCTTAGAATTTCATTTTTTAAATTAATAGATTTTTTTAAAAAAAAGGTGAAGATAGAAATTTTAAAACCTTTAATTGTTCCT